AGTGAGAAAAAAGCATGTAACAGAAAGCAGACATTTTCATTTGTCTCCCACGGAATGCCACTCTGCAGAGAGGGCATGATCTACAATCCGTGTGTGATTCAGAGATGAGATCATCCATCTTTGACCATTTTCAGCCTTGAATGACACAAAAAGGCAGAGCTGAATCAGAAAGCCTATACTTTTAATGGAAAAAGTCAATGTGGAACTACCTGCAGGGGAGCGGATCAGTAATGGTGGCCTTGTTGCCTCGCCAAGTCTCTCCAAATCCCCTCTTGAGGAGGAGCACAATAGTCAACTTATACCTGCTGGCAGAGCCTCCGGGGATTAAAGAGGACAGACAGCAGAATGTCATTCTGATAGCTCAGAGTTATCCGCTCAATAAAACTTCAAAGAGCATTCCTGGATTTCTTTTCAAAACACCATTGGGTGCTGATACGGTGGCCTGTCAGGGGCATGGCAGAGGTAACAGGCAGGGGTCTGTGCGGTGTAGCCCATCAAAGCCAACGTCAGCACCTTGGACGTGTGGTGTGGCAGCAGGCGGGGGTCCCCACCTCAGACTGAGGGGGCGGGCACTGCATTAAGGCCATGTTTGACAATACACAAGTGCGAACGGTAGATATGTCAGACAGGTGATGAAATGATGAAATGATTAATACGAGGGGGATGTTATCGTGCTGCGAAAGGTCCTGTCCGTAACGATTCATTGTAGGGAGATTTTCATTTGATCTGGAAAAGGTACTCAGGACCCGATAAGGCCAGGTGGGGAGAGATTTCTGGCTGCGGAATTCACACTAGGGACGCATGTAGCCGAGAGATGTCCCGAGATAATTTGAGAAATGCCTGGAGTAGAAGAATTTGTAGATAAAAGAAAACACTGAAGGAGGCCTTGAAAGCAAGGGAATTCAGGACCATTTATGCCCCCCCCCCCGACGCTTTCATCTGACAAGGATCGAAACCAGACTGCATGATGGTTCCCCCCAAACCACAGGGAGGGAGCACATAGGCAAGAACTGAAAAAACATGTATGCATTTAAGACATAGGGGAACAAACAAACCAGATAAATGAACATGTGAGGATAAAAGAAAATCCTGAAATGGAAAAAATATTGAAGTCAGGATGTAGAAACATGAGGCAGGGCGGCACACGATCAATGGAAAGACAGAAAGAGACGGAGAGAAAGTCACAATTTATAGATTGATCTCACTTACTGGGCAAAAGCAGATTGGCAAATGCTGGAGTAGACATTCTAGAAATACATGTTCATCTATTGGTCCTGACAGTGTTCTTAAAGCACTTTAAATATGAATGCAAAACTATGATATTTGTTTACTTATGACTCTAGGCTGGGCTCTGCTACAGAGGAAAGCCAATTCAGAGTTTTCCTCAGAGATTATTTATACTAAGTCTGGCCTGACTTAAAGAGAACTCGGTAGGAAAATAGGAGAGGCTGCCTTCCAATAAGTAACTGTCTCTAAAATAAACTTTGCAGAGTGCATGTGCCCCCCCCCCGGCTTACATAACTCCTGCTGTGGCTGAGTGCAGTGGCCTGGATCGCAGGTGAATGTTCCCAGAGTGACATTCTCCACAGGTCACTGCCTTGTCTAAAAACTGCTTTGCCGCCCTTGAGCAGAGTCATTCATCTCTCATATCTCCCTGTGCATTACTGTAGCTATATCTTATGACCCGACTGCATTCAGGTGAGTGACAAGGAAAAGACACAATGTGGACAGTATGGACTGACACAGTACAGCCGACGATGCAAAGCTGAATTCCAGAAGAATTCAAGGAGATGACACACACACACAGACAGGTACAAACATATAGGAAATACACACTTAATGCAGACAGACGGTGAACATTTGACACAGAGAGACCATACAAGACATAGAAAAACATCAAGAGTTGCTACTGCACCTGTGAGTCTGAGATTTCGGAGGGCTTCTCAGTCAGGCTGCTGCTCTCTGCGGGGATCAGGTCGTTGTACTTTGTGCTGACGTCTTCGTCTGAGTAGTGTAAACTGCCTGGACTGGGCCTAGGAGGAGACCTGGGCAAAGAGACATACAGACATGAGGATAATTCAGATGATTGTTGCCCTTAGCAAAGAATTGTGTAGACCCTTTTATTGTTTTAATGTAGGATAATGCAAGTTTTTGCCTTCAATCCAATGTGATAGGTCAAAAGTAACGAGTTGTTGTAAACACACTTCCTTGTTTTGCTTTGAATTACTGTATTTGTAATAATTGTTGGGCAAAGTTGAACTGCGCATTAAGGGATTATTTCAGACACTTCTGATGGACCTTTAGGTTAACCTCAAAATAAAGTTGGTTGGACATTTTTGCTAATGCTAAATCTTTGCTACTATTGCGCCATAATAACTTTACAGAGTTGTGAAATCCTGTCTCTTAGTATTTCCACAGCTGTGCAATGTTTTGGCAATTCATAAGCCTTCACATTCACAGATCTGTTACTCAAGCTGGACTTCCTGTATTGGATTTAAATGTCTCACCAGGACCTAAAGCTACACCCCCCGCCTCTGTTGTATTGATGTTTAAATCTTAGTGGTTACTTGTGTGTAAAATGCTGCGATGACCAGAAAAACTTCAATTTGGCCTTCTTTATTGTATTTGGAAATCATATTGAAGCACTTTCTGTTAATAAAGCCTTTTAGGGAGTCTAGTCAGCCCTGATTCATTGCAATGACACTTCAGAAGGCGCTTCCTCTCCAGTTCACATGTATCACTGTCTGTCTGTGTGTAGGAGTGCAGCCTGATGAGAATCATGGGATACTCATGAGATGGCTCCCTAAAGCCTCTCTTCTGGATTTAATAATTCCCCCTCATTCAGTGCTCAATGTGGGCTGTGGAATGTCAAACCACTGGGCCCTTGTGACTAGAGTCTGAACTGAACTCTTGCGGTGCTGAAGGGCTCATCATACAACCGGCTGCATAAGGCTCTGCTCTGGAAAATGTTATTAGATCCTACTGTACATTGTGTGGATTAAAGGGCTACTGGCATACTGCGGAGGATCGAATATTTAGATGTATATTTGAGAGTGTAAGTGATATATGAGTGAGAGGTGTCGAGCGAACATTAAAGCTGAGAGAAAGGAGGAATGAGAAAAATGAGGCCAGAGAAAGATGAAAAACTGGAAAAACATTTCCTAAAATGGTATGCTCTAGCCAAGAGTTCTTTAAGTAAATACGAGAGGGGAAAAAAGCTTCTCCGTATTTTCCACTGTCGCCGGTGCTGCTAAACAAACACCCATCTGTTTCTGCTGATTGGTACTGGTTTGGCAGAGACCACGGGGACACAGGGACTCCTGTTGACTCTCCAGCCATAGTGTCGGCCGCCACTCTCTGCCAGTGGAGTGCTGCTGCACACACAGCCGATTTACACGTCAAAACCACATTAGCATTTCTCCAAATAAATACATCCTGAAAGCATTTCAAAAATGTTGTGGTTAAATTCCAGCTGTCTTCACGAGGGCTGGCGTTCCGCGTGTGGTGTGGATGAAATAGAACACTCCACTGGGAAATCACAAAGCAAACTGTAATTCAATTATGCTCAATGAGCTATATTAAACTAAAGTTAATTCACTTAACTTGAGTGGAGGAGTGAAACATGTGCAGAGAACTAATTATATATGATGTTCTACATGTCATCTCATTTGTCTATGTTGGTTTGAAGATGTTCTACAGAGTTTAAGTGTGTCACTTTATGCAGATATATTACCACTTTGCTGGGGGATGTGGGATGTGTTTTACTTATCTTACTAGGCGTAAAGAAAAAAAGGTCACAATATTGATTGAAAAGAATATGAGCTAGGTGCCCTATGTGAGATGGCTGGATGAAATGCATGCAGATGGTGTGTGTATTAATATATGCAAGTTTTTGTTGTTGCATGATATGCATCTATTTGTATCTCATGTCATTGCTTAGGTATGAAAGTAAATGCTTAGTGGGCTTCACTGTATTAAGGACATATTTTCTGTACTTAGTGCACTTCTCTGCTTTGTAATTTTCTCTTTGTTGTTGTTATTAGCACTTATATATGTGAAACTGTTAGCAAATGATGCATTTAAGGGTTATAATTGCAGTAATTATATCATTTATCAATAAAGGTAATGACACAATTTAATAGTTGTTGATTAATAACTCAAATGAAAACATTATTTTCAATACTTTGAAGTGAGTTTCTAAACTAACAGGTGGCTGGTATTAGCAAGATAAAAACGCATACTTTTTTTTCCATTTGCGACTATGTAAAAATAATGGTTTAAAGTAAAATCTCTCAGGGCACATTCTTTCTAAGATGCAGTCCAACTTTGAAAATGTTGCAACAAAGTTTGAATCACAGCTCGGAATTCTAATCTGCACTTATTCCCCAAGGACTCTTCAGTGTAACCTTTACCAACTCCCATTCCTCTGCAGTCCTTACAGCGAGCCCTCCCCCTCTCCCCCCTTTATAAAACACAGTCGTACAAAGAGCTGGAGCCAGTGTGAAGAAATGCAATCGGGAGGCCAGTGAGACATTATGATAAACTGCCTGTTTAAAAACATTGAGAAGGCTCAGCCCACTCTCACCTCTTCTCCTTGACTCTCATACACTGGTAAGTGAGGCGTGAATTATTTATCAGCTCTCTCACTTGGATAGAGAAGGCTCCACTTAATCCTCTCGCAGCAAAATTCAGTCAGCAGTACGTCGGTTAAGAAACGAGGACCGGGGGGTGAAATCAAATCCGCCCCTGGTCTATACTCATTATCAGGCTCTCCTCTTGCTACAGTCGCCTGTAGGGACTCATTAACATGTCTGAAGTGTTCAAGACCTTTGTCATTCAATAGCGTTTAAAACCGTGTTAATGAATTACTTCACCAAGACCTCTTCAAACCCCAAACCAGAGCGTCAAAGTAAGTTTCAAACTAATGAAAGAGAGTGATACAAAGCCATATGGGAATAATGGTGTTAATTCCATCCCTCTTTATTTTAAAGGCAGTTAAACATTGATCATCTGGGTGTTGAAGCTCAAATTGGAGACACATTTGGACTCCAGTGTTAGAGTTTATGTGCTGTCAGATTGCTAATGTCTGACATCAAGCGTGGGAGGACGTGATACCTAGGGCCCGTGTATACATGGCAGAAAGGAGCTGGCGTTTCATCCAAAAAAAACCTCCCAGAGATCTTTTATTGTTTCAAGGACAAGGATATATCGATAAAGTATGACCGTCGTTATACGATAAACTAGCATGGATTTGACCTGTTTGTGCTACAATACATACCGTATCTTTGACATTGTTTTTTTACTAATCACCAACTGGAAGATTCTTGCTCTCACACTTTGTAGACAATGTTGTCATTTCCCTGTCTGACAGCCACAGAGCAAGGGATGAAGCAAAAACAAAAACCCCAAAAAACAAACACAAGCTTTTGTATAGTGACGTCTCGGTGCTTTTCTGAAAAGTTGAATATTTTCAAGTTGGAGCGGCCGCACAAAAAAGATGGAGCACTTAGGAAAAAGGCGCTTGGCACTGCCCTTTTTCTGTAAAAGGCTGCTTCCACTCGTTCAAATCAATTTAAAATAGACAATGGTGCTCAGAGTAAGGCGCTATGTGGACATGGGCCCTAAATTGTTTATTGTTAACCAGAATCGACAATGTGCTGTGGAACAGATAATTCAAGTACTATTCTAAGTCTTCCTTTTAACCTCTTTACAGTGATAACAATGCAGATTGACAATTCGAGTGGTGATGGATTAAGTTGTCAGTCACGCAAAGTGAACTGCATTGACTTCCCTGCGATTGTAATTGAATTTACTGTCATGCATATTGACCCTTTTGTAAGACTTTGGGAAAATGTTCTCCGTAGAGAGAATCTTTCTGTACCTGAAATCAAACAGAAATGGCATTTGCTGTCCGACACAGCGCTGAATTACAATGAATGCTGGAGGATTAGGAATGTTTGATTTGTGATCCTGGTATCAGGCGGAGGACTTTGTCCTGTCTTTGGTATTCTGAGACCGGAGATGGCATTAATCTATAATCAGAGGGGGGGGGGTTCAGGTGTTGGGATTTGGGTTCCTTCGCTTAGGCTGAGTTCAAAGAGCGCCGAGTCTGAAAAGTACATCTGTGCATTCTTTCATTCCCTGCCTCCCCACTTCAAGCCCAGAGACATAATAGGAAGCTGCCTGGAAGCCCCTCAAAGACCTGGAGCTGCTTTGATCTATCCTCAAGGCCACACTCGCATAAACACCTTCAAAAACTACTTTCTCTCACATTCTCATGCACACAGCAATGTATGGACATGCAGGCTCATACAGAGGAGGCTAATTTGTTTCGGTGCAACATCAGAGTGCACCTGTCGCAAAACATCTAAATATCAGAATTCTAAACACACACTATCTGTCACATACCTTTCAGCCGTCCTAAACTGGGACTGGTCTAATGCAAATGGTTCAAAATTGGACTTATCTGTCCCTGCAAGTGTCAGTCCGAGTGATTGGCTTTAAACTATTTAATGTTCTCAACATACTGCGTGTTACAGCTGGGATGCACTGAAATAGAGCAGCATCATTAAATCCTTGGTGAGTCTTTTTATATGAAATATTGAAAAAGCTGCAGATGAGGATTTGTCAGGAGGAAGAGAGCTAAAAATGTATTTGGATATGATGTGAAGATTCTATGGCTAAGCCAATTATAACACCATATGGTTGTCTCATATTGACCTGAAATGAAGCTTCTAGTTTAATTATAACCTGCACTTTAAAGCTGCTTAAATCTCTCACCGGGTGTAGACGCCGTTCTTCCGGCAGAAAGAGTTCTTCACAGACAGCCTTCGGTTGTTGAGTTCCAGAGCGGGGAAACGGCCTTCGTCCAGACTAACCATGTCTCCGTGGGTCAGAGCGTTACAGTTGGAGTTGTTTCCTGGACACACGTACAGAGACACTGTGTGACCACAGGCCAGATGGACATGCAGGTTAGTGCCCGGGAGGATGGAGGGGGCTGATCAATGACTTGTGGGTAAGTGAGTGAACAACATTAGGAGTTAGGAAGGATGGAACATAGACGGATGATTAAATGTAACTGTTGCTAAATGGGAATATGGACCAACTAAAGGAAAGTAATGAGTGAGTAAATCATAGAGATGTTTGAAGTCTTTCAGGGAAGTTGTAATGAGGAAATGATATGTCATGTCTTTCAGGTCTTAAAATGTGGACCATTAAAAACATTTTCCTTCCAGAGCTGTATATATCATAACTGTAAAGCTGAAAAACCATAGGTTAAAAAAAGGTGTGTCTTTAGAACAACAACAACAACATTATTGTTCGAGGATATGGTAACCACAAATGCTTTGACTTTATTTGTTTTCAAGTTTAAAGAGATTCAACTATAGAACTAATATTTGTGACTTAAAGCAATAGTTCATCACTTTGGGAAATATGCTTATTCTATTTTTCGGTGAGAGTTACACAAAAAAAAAAAGAATAATACACAAGGTGTAGCTGGAGCTTAGCATTAAGAGTGGAAACAGGGGAACAGCTAGCCTGGGGTGGTAATTAGTGAGTTTAAGAGATGCTGGTTTACAGATTTAGTTACTTTCAAACGGAGCAAGGCTAGCTGCTTTCCCCTGTTTCCAGTCTCTGTTCAATAAACCAACAGGCCGCTAGCACTAGCCTTTTATTCAACAGACTGATACGAGAGTGGTGTTAAGCTTCTTATCGAACCCTTAGAATGTCTCAAAATGTGGATTTACTCCTTTCAGTCTGATTCAACTTTTTTTTTTTACCAATGTTACACCATTGTTATGAGTCCCATATTACACCCATGTAACACCTATAGAACATCATAGTAACACAGTTATTACACCCCTTTTTATATCTATAGTACGTATACACCTATTAAACCCATGTTACAACATTAATACACCCGTTTTACGTCCATATCATACCCATGTTACACTATTAATACACCTATATTACATATTACTGTTATTAGACCCACATTGCACCTATGTACCACAAATGTTACACCCATATTCAACTGTAATTACATTATTATTAACACATAAGGTTTAAGTGTTATCTATACTTTTAGTTTTCATAATGGCACGCATTGACAAACAAGGTCACTTTTTAGTGAGGTCAATAATACAAAAATGTGACACAAAGAAATAGGTTATTAATCTAAAGTAATTGATTATTTTGTAATATACCACCGGTGGAAACTATACAGGTTATACAGTATAGTCCACACAAATTGAGGAATGTTTTTAAAGAGTCAATAACATATATAATAACACCATTAAGTCAGGAACACAAATGACATTTGTAAATGCAAACACATAGGAAGACATGTACAAACTCAGAATATGATAAATGAGTGAGCCTCTGTGTAAACACTGTCTGTGGATCACACATGAATAGGCAATAACGCAACTTTTTTGCAACGACTCCCTAGTGTCCCTCCGGATTAATCAAAGCACCAACTCTAAAGGCTGAGAGTGACAGACTTGCCATGCTGTGCAGTAGATTAATGTTTGGAGGCACTGTTGTTGGCCGTGCTACAGGTTTAAAAACACTTTCAGTCATCCTCAGACTTATGAGGGGCCGCAGCGAGGCCAGGACCTCCGCGGTAGCTCCAGGGCTACTCCAGGTCAATTGATGGTTACACAAACACGGAGAAAAATAAAAACTCTTGGGTAGGTCCAGTGGCCGGGGCCAGATTCCTGCAGGGGAATATGGAGGCTTTGAGAGCGTCTTTGTTAGAGTGAGAAGGAACCTCTTGTTTTCCCTCTGTCAGTCAGAAAGATGGGCAGTGACCCGCAGGGACCCCCTCCCCTCCCCCCCTCCCATGCCTGGCAGCTAAACAGCTATGGCAGAAGTGCTGAGCCAAGGGAAATACCCGCTGATGTCAGAGCTTCACTGAATGGACCTCTTCTCTCATTCTTTTATTCTCCCTCTACTCTGTCAATTATCTAAATCATTCAAAAAAAAGTTAACCCTAAGTTTGATGCTCAATATTTGAAAACGGCGAATCATTAAATCCCCTTATTAAGTGAGAATCTTTAATAAGAACATTTTTAATAATCAGATTCCCGGCCCCTCTTACAGCTTCTAAGTCTAGTTAGAAACTCTGGAAGTATTTGTGTGCACTCACCTGATTCTGACTTCTTGGCGTACTTCTTGCTCTGGCCTCTGATAATGAGGATGAAGACCAGCAGCAGGATGAAGATGAGCCCCACCAAAGCCACCACGACCAGAAACCACCACTCCTCGTAGAAAGGCGCCACTTTTTGGGCTGGACGAAACACATACATTGGAATTCATGCTTGTTAAAAATAAAGTGGCATTATTTCTGTGATGCCTGAATGACCTCAGGGAATTCAATTAATAGGTCTGAAAATGTATGTTTCTCCAATTTATGAAGAAATGTATGAAAGCTCACCAGATATCGAAGGAGAAGGTAGACTGGGGGAGCCGTACCCGTAGTCGTTCACTCCAATGACCCTGAAGTCGTAACTGACCCCTTGCTTCAGGATATCCATGTTGAATGTGTGTGATGTCACCTCCTTGGGGATGTCCTTGATTAGGATATCCCACAATCCCTCATCTGTAATGGAGATTACGTTTTAATTTTGTGTGACGAGAAAATTAAACAGGTAAAACATTTAAACAGTGCCAATATGTCTTTGTTAACAGGTTGTTTGTTTTGTTTCATACAAGGCTCCGGCCTGGCTGGCTGACAGCTCCCCGGGTAATCCATAATTCCAACAAATGTTACACAATCCATCAATTTCACTGCTCCTGTTAAATTTACAGCAACCAAATCTACATCATAAATAGTGTCACAGCCATATTTCACACGAAGAAGGTTGTTTGCTTTGGAAATCTTGCCAGAGAGGCCCTTTATTACACATCGCTGCTTGTAAACATCTCTTTTAGTGAGGTACACAAACATAAACTAGCACGGGAGATCATCTGTCATTGGTCACTTAACTTTTTGCAAAAGTAAGAAAACGG